ATATATATATATATATATATATATTTATATATATGGACTTTTGTTTTTTATAAGGCACTAAAGGAAAAATTCCCTTGACATTTTCAACTAGGGAACCTTGATACATATAATTTACTTGTAAATAAAATGTGGTTATGCCCAGGAATTAAAACAGTGACAAAACAAATTTAAAAGATTAATGGAAGATATTTTAAGGGCAAAATTTGGGTCTGATCCTGCAAACATATGTATGAATGGCTTTCCTTGCAGCAGCAAACTCAATGAGTTAAACATTTTTAAACACATGGGCACAGCATTCCATGTTATATTTTGCCATAAGAGCCTTATAAAATAAAAGTGCAAATATACTATTGAGCTTAAAAACATTGTTTGGTCTATAGATGTCAGTACCTGAGTTGGCTTAGGAGAGATCATTATGGGATGCTCAGTGTGCTGTTTGTCTTTGGACAGTCAAGTGTCAGTGTAAGGGGAGAGAGACTCAAATATAGATGAAGAATTCTACCTCTGAATGAACTAATAGAATAGTAAATATGTGTCATACAGCTGACTTTTATATTTATATCTGTGTATATCTGAGCAGTATCTAGATTTTTTGTTTATTCTTTTAATATTCAATAGGACTTTATTTTAAAAAGCCCTGAGAAAAATGCATGATAAAAACATTTTGACCAAATAAAATATTTTAATACTGTAAGTCACTTCCCGCTTTCTGGAAACTTAGGCTGAAAACAGGATCATGAAATGCAAATACATTTTCCTGCTATTATTCTTATTATGCATTTTTATGTTGCCTTAGTACTTCTCCCCTGGCCCTCCTATATCCTCTGCTTCTATTTTTCTTCCTAAAAAAACAAAAAATTGAAACTGAAAATATATACTGTAAATATCTCTCTACAAATAATATCTATCCATTGAAAAAGCCCACAGACTGCTCTTCTAGTTATTATTCCAACATTTTTAATAGCTACTTTCTCTCTAAGCTAGGGTGTCAAAAACATAGGGCTCTGGCACACGTAATATTTGAGGTGCTTTATTCACTGTTTCAGCCTAACAAAAAACCCTGTGGCCCCATGATCAGGTTTTTTGCTGTGATACAAAAATGGCTGATGAAGTACCAAAATGGCTAACCCACAACAAAAAAGTAGCTGTTGAAAACAGCTGACAAGGGACAGGCTCACTATTGCTCCTTGGCTGGAGAGCATGCCTTTGTCATACTCAGCCAGGAGGTTGTGTACACATGTACACTCTGGATTGATCTATTTTTTGTAGTGCTATAAACTTTTTATGACTATAAAACAGTGTGCGTCAGCAGCCATAAATCTTATTTCTTCAGAATTTAGATAATAATAATCAGTAAGAATCTTGGAAATTAAAGAGAAGCAGAGCTTAAGACTATTCCAGGATGTAATAAAATATTAAGATGAAGTGTGTTGGAAAAATACAATTAAATAGAAAGAATCTTGGGGAAAATGGTACTTACACTCTTCGTCCATAACAACTAATTTAGTTTCTGAAGCTGGTAAGAGTTGTGGCACATTCGTTGTTCCTGGGGAAATTAAGGTAAGAAAGTAGTGAACAAATCATCCATTGCCAGCTGAAGAGAACAGTGGATTTAGCTATTTGAGGGACAAGGGTTCAAACAAATGTCAAGGTGCTTGCTGGATGCCAAAAAGCAAACAAAGCTTTTAAATGTGTGCGTAATGGTTGACCTATTTATACTTCTCTTAATTAAATACTGGGGTAAAAGAGTAACATTAAGGTGTGCCTTAGCAATGGATGATACAATACATTTTTTCATCCAATATCTATGAAGAGCTTCAGTCTGTTACAGTCCATCTGGTACAAGCATAGGAATTGGATATGCAACCCCAAAGTCGACATGCTGACAAGACAATGGACTAGTGGAACTTTTTCTTGACCTGATAATGACAAGTACTGTAAGTTGAGAGCACAGGCCATTGTCAGGCTTGTCAGTAGTTTTACAAATAATTAGATTATGGATTTATAGACTAGTTTGGATAGGGATGATCCTGCCTCAGGCAGTGGGTTGGACTAAATGATCTCTGGGGGTCCCTTCCAGACCTACTTCTCTATGATTCTCTATGATTTTAAGACTTTATTTAAGAAAAGGTGGAGTGATTTTGACTGCAAACAGTATCTGGAGCTATGCACACTAGCAATGCTATAAACAATAAAAAGGTATGCTTAAGGGCTATGAATCTATGACTTAGAACAGCTTGCAGGAGGAGGAGATAATTTCTCAAGTTCATTATGCTGTTTGGGTCCCCTTCCTCACCCCACCCCCACCCCCCTTTGTGCAACAGATACTGGCCTTTGCTTATACTAGACGGGTTAATGGTTTGCTCTAGAATGGAAATTCTTATAGGTAAGGGATACTAGAATATTCCACCCAGGCATTCCTCTTATTTACTATCTTTGCTGGTAGCAATCATCAGCAGACATCACCTTCCAGTCCACAGCCTCTAATCTTCCTCAAAATTTTTAACAAAAAAATGATATGCCATTACACTGAAGTGCATAGGAGAGAATATGGGGAAATCATCTTGGAAAGGCAGCACAAAATGCTCACCACTTGCTCCACTGAAAAGAGAACAGAGAGAACAGCAGGAAAGGTAAATTAAAGAAAAACACAAAGAGAAAGAAAAAAAGTTTGAAACTGGGGCCTAGTAAGAGGGTTACTCTGTCTCTTCAATGTGGCTTTTTCATCCATAATTCAGACCATTGTCAAGAGTAGACTGTTCACTGGAGGCTATTGGAAAATATTTTCTTCCCCCTCCTCCCTCCCTCCCCTCAGAAATTTGTATTTTTTCTTTAAAAAATAAACTAAAAATGGTGACAGAAAATGGAAAGATTTGGACTGAAACCTAAACATTTCCAGCTGAAAACCTCCAAAAACCCAAAGAAAAAAGTCCACAACTCATTTTTTTTTATTTCTAGTTATACATTTTCTGATACAAACCTGCAAATTTGTCAGTAGATAGTACAATTTCCACAAACATTTTTGTTTATTTGAAAATCCATATTTGTGTTGAAAACAGAGTTTTGATGGAAAATGTTTAACCAGCTTTCCTGTGGAAAGACACTCTACATGGAGCTGCACCTTACACCCTTTAGAACCTGAAGCTTGTGCAGAGCACTCAAGCTTTCTTGGGAAGTGAAGGGTTTCTGCTGGCAGATTACACTATTACTCTGTGATCCGTGCTGGATGCCTATAGGTTGTTTTTAATCAGTAAATAACTTGGAGCCAGCCTGATTGTAAAGTACCCTGCTCCCTGAACTACTGCTGTTGGGGTATGCAGGAAAAGTATCTGAGCAGGAGGCCTTTGGGCTCAGAACAGACAGTCAAAAAGTCCAAGGCTAAATCAATTAATTCTTCTAAGCTGCATAGATTGAACCAATAAGCAAGTGAACAGACATTCACTTTTCATGCCACAAATGCAGCCACATGCCTTGTTACCTCTCAGCTCCATGTTCTTAGAGAACCCTGACACAGGACTCAGACTGTCTAATTCACAAAGAACCACTCCCCCCACCTAAACAGAAACTGATTATGATGCAGTGAAAGACACACCTAAAACCCTCCAGACGAGGGTGACAAAAGTGAAACAACTGCCCTAGGTCTCATTTGCATCTGAGATGGAACCAGATAACCATTCCTTTACATGGGGGATGGAGAACAGAAAGCCTGGAGCAGAGACCACAGTGAATTCTGGGATCAGAGAAGCAGGGAAGCACTGCATGATGGGGAATCTGTGCTCCAAATGCTAATCAAGCCACATTTACACACATCCAGCTCAGCATTTA